CACACGAAAATTTCTTTATGTTACTTGAGCTTGTTTACGCAACGGCTCATTCGTACAGGTAATCTGCTGAAAATGCTCAGGTACTGCATTTGGGAACGGTCGTTACCTGTATAAGTGGGTGGGCACCGTTGGGAATTGTGCGCTGCTCGAGCTTTACACGAGCAGCGCTGGGTGTTTACTTGTATCAGTTGCCGTTACACGAACACTGTTGACATGTTACCTGTAATCTCATTTTTTCGTGACAAAACGTGGCTCAGCAGATGTTCGGTGAAACTTGTGAGTAGAGGGAGGCCCCAGGCTGGAATGCAGCAGGATTGCCGGTCCGGTCATGAGTTTCTGCATTAAACTTGCGGGTCGCTGACAGCAGGAATAATCCCTGCGCTGCAGCCAAACACTTGAGTTCATATTGGCCATGCTTTGGTTTCTTCCGGCATGCAGCAGAATGGGCATCGGTTGGGATAAGGGTGTTGCATTATAGAGTCGCATGGACCTACAGGTACATGATTACCAGTTTTTTGCATGAAGGTCGGTCGTTTTTCGGTAAATGCCAGCTTTTTGAAAGAATGACCCAGGCTGGAACGCACCGGGCGAGCCCGTGCGATCATGTGTTCTTGCACCGGACTTGAATTACTCAGGTCATTGACTGTATGAATAGCTGTTGCTTTACACCTACTTCTTGCGGTCACTAGCATAAATCACCTCAAATTTTGCAAAGTAAATGTATAATTTCCATCTAACAGTCGTTCTTTATAAAGTAACCTAGTTTTTCAGTGAGAAATTTTTTCGTCAAGACTTTTAAGTGCCCGTACATAAGAAGCAAGCATGCCTCAAGGCTAAATTTGAAATACTTAAGTTGTACTTGGACAGGGAGCATTCCCTCAAAATTTCAGCTTTCTAGCTTCTGTGGTTACCCAGTTAGCAATTTCCCCGCCAAAACCTTCACATACCCGTTCTTGGGTGCTCCACGTGCTTGGAAAGCTGAATTTGACATTTTTAAATTGCGCGTGGACAGGGAACATCCGCCAAAAATTTCAGCCTTCGAGCTCTTCTGGTTGCCGAGTTAGTATTTTTCATGCAGGGACTTTCACATGCCCTTACGTGAGTACCATGCATAGCTTGGGGCTGAATTTGAAATATTTGAGTTGTACTTCGATAGGGGACATTACCCCAAAATTTCAGCTTTCTAGCTTTCCAGCTGGTACCCGAGTTAGCAATTTCCCCCTTCTCTTCTGGTTGCCGAGTTAGTAATTTTCCTGCAGAGACTTTCACATGCCCTTACGTGAGTACCATGCATAGCTTGGGACTGAATTTGAAATCTTTAGCTAGTACATGTACAAGGAATATCCCTACAAAGTTTCAGCCCCTTAGCTCATGTGGTCCCCGAGATTGCTTTCCCGCCAAAAAAATTTGCATATTTTTTTAAAGTGTCGGTACGCAGCACCCAGGCGTCCAAGGGGGATGAGATTAAAACGGGAGGGTCGCGCATGGTACGGGCATATACTCTCAAAGTTTCAGCCTTCTAGCTTTTCTGGTTCTCGAGTTGAAAGTAGGTGACAAAAAGTTCGAACACACAGACAAACACACACACCGAAAGCCTCTTCCCAATATGCGTTTTTGCAATTTACATGTATGCAAAAACGCATAAAAATGGAAATTTTTTGAAAAAAATGCAAATTTCCAGTTCGCCAAAAAGTGGAAGTATTGCTTGAGCGGCCGTTTGTGAAAAATCCGAGTATGCAAATGAACTGATGTTGATTTAAGTATTTGAATGAGGGCGGTCGTTCGCTGCAAAACGCAATCGTTTCTGTTTTTCGCTAAAGCTGATTGTTTCTCACCTGGAGGGAATTCCACCTCCAAGCAGAATTAAGACCGCACTTGAAAGTAGAATATCCCAGCGAATTTTCAGCCTCGCAGCTTATCCGGCAAGCGAAAGATCCACTTCGCTACAAATATCTTATTGCCCTAAGTCATGGCACAAATGCAAATCGACACTCATTTTAGGAATACCATTTCCTATATGGGAGACAAACATCCTGGCAAAATTTCAGCCACTGTTTTCTTGCAAGTTTTTGATCTAGCATGATATCAAGTCGCAAACTTTGACGTGGTCGTACACGCTGTATAAGCGTGCGCGGCAGCTGAATTTGAAATCTTTAGCTCGAACATATACAGAGAAAATCCCTGAAAAGCTTCAGCTTTGTACCTTGCCTGGTTCGCGAAATCGCTTCCAGCCAAAGAAATTTGCATATTTTTTAGGGGTCTATATGCGGAGCTTAGGCGCGTGTAGGAGATCTTGAAACGGGAGGGTGACAAACGGGGTAGGAACATATACTCAAAATTTCAGTCTTCCCGCTTTCCTGGTTGTTGAGATGAAAGTGAGTGACAAAATGCACCTGCTTCCGAACACACACAAACAGATGACCATTCGACAATATGCGTTTTTGCTGGCTGTAGCAGCGCTACAGCGCTGCTATATTGCTGCACTGCAAAAACGCATAAAAACGCATCTTCGTACCTGCAGTCGATGCGCTATCGACTAAGTTTGCATTTATATGATGGAATTTTTGGAGCGGGATTTTACACTTCCAATTAAAGGTCATGGGCAGTCAGAAAAATTCGAGATTGGATGCGTAGCAAATAATTGTAAATACAGTAATCGAACGGAGAGGCGGAGGATGGGATGAAGAAGGTAAATAGCAACGCGCACCAGACTAGCCGGTGCGATCATGCGTTTTGTGCAGTTCAGCCCGTCGAATGGTTGCCTATTAATGATTTCCACTGCTTTGTGTTTCAGTCTTTGCAAAAATAGTTCAAACATTGAAACACAGTTAAAAATTTCACGCACCAGCGCATGAAAGCTGAATTCGAAACCTTGAAGGGTGAATCTTTATCCCGAATTAATAGTTTACCTGCCAAAATTTTCACGAAGCCGTAGGTGATACTCAAGCCGTAGGTGAACGCTGAATTTGAATAGGCAAGGTTGAGCGTGGGCAGGGGATCATTACTGTAAAATTTCAGCTCCCTAGACAGTTCCCGAGATATTAATTTACCCGTAAAAAACTTTCACGGGGCCATACGTGTTACTTGCGGGTACGGGGAAGCTGATTTAAATTTGTGGGGTCACAAGTGGGTGAGGAACGTTCCCCTAAATTTTCAGCTTTCTAGCTTTTGTGGTTCCCGAGTTGAAAGTTGCGGACAATTTGATGCGGACACACACACACAGACAACCCCGTGACAATATGCGTTTTGTACTGCCGTTACACAGCACAGAACGCATAAAAAGAGTATTGTTACTTTCCTGCTAAAGCTATATGAGCTAGTTGTGAAATTGTGTTTTCAGAATAGCAACGGAAGGAAAGAGATACACATTTCATTGAATAAATACAATAATAATACAAAAGGAGGGAAAGAGCAAAAACGATTAGGGTTTGCGTGGCGATTGCTCATTGCTGGGCATTTTTTCCACAGCAGTTCGTAAATCGGTTTCAGATTCGTAGCCACACACTGACAGGAATTCAGCATCAGTGCTATCGCTCACACCGGCAGTGCTTTTTGTCACAGAACTACTTTCGTCTTTTGGTTGTTTCTTGTCTTTCGCCTTCTTTCGTTTTCGCTTTGAATGCACTTTTTTTGACGGTGACGTTTTAAATTGCATTTCACGATCAGGCGACGGTTTCGCGTTTCCGGAAGCTTGCATTGTTCTCTTTCGTGCTGTTCCTTAAACATTTCAGATTTACAATTCCAAATATATACATGGAACAATTAGATCACTTGTAATTCAGGACTTTTCAACTGCTTTAACTAACGTCATACCACCTGGTGGTCACACTGCTGGCGTTTGTTTCTTCCTGACGTTTGTTTCTTCTCGTGAAGGAGTCATCCAACTCAACGATTTTATTAAGAAGTTTCAGCCGTTTCAAAACTAATTATCCTTTGTGTATGTTGATGAGGGCCAACATGTTGCTCTGGATTTTGCAGTCCTCAACTGCGAAGGTCCTTCTCGACAAGGAGAAAAAATTTGAATATTGATCTTATCTATTATAATTATGCGTTTTTTGCAACTGTGCAATTCATAAAACGCATATTGACGAGGGGTTGTCTGTGTGTCGTCTGTCTTTTTGTGCGTCTGTATCGATTTTTCATCTCAAGACCTGTAGAAGGTACAGGGCTGAAACTTTGGGAATTTAATCTACGTGCATGTACGGGCCTCAATCCCCAAAATGGGCGCTCTTACTCTCGTGGCACCCACGTACGGGCCCGCGAAAATTTTTTTTTCGGATATGTTGATAACTCGGGAACCTGAGAAGCTAGAAAGCTGGAATCTTATGCTGCCCATCCAGGTACGTATTAATGAGCTGAAAAACAGACTCCGACTATGCGTGGCACCCAAGTACAGGGCCTGTCAAAATTTTTTTCGGGTAAGTCACTAACTCGAGAATTCGAAAAGCTAGAGGACTTTACTTTTAGGAGATATCCCCCGTCAACCTAAATCCCATTGAGCTCAAGCCCAGACTTCCAGTGTGCGTGGTACCTAAGTACGGGCCCGCCAAAATTTTTTCAGGTAGGTCACTAACTCAACAATTTGAAAAGCTAGACGACTGTAATTTT